ACAGGAAGACAAAAAAAAAAAAAAAAACAGTGAAAAGGAAAACAAGATCCTGGAAGCTGGAAGTCGGCTGGGGATTGAACCCAGTTCTACAAGTTCCACTGAAAACACCCTCAGTAACTTTTAAGGGTTGGGGATGCAGCTCAGCATGAAGGTCCTTGCTTCAGTCCCCAGCACTGCAGTATTCATAAGCTTTTCCTGGTACTGTGCTGGGAATCAAACACAGGACCTTGCACTTGTGAAGGTGGTGCAACCATTGAGCTACATCTAAATCCCCTCAAATGTTTTGCAGCTACAGATTCAGCACCTTCCATCCACCCTCAGCCAGGAAGCCTAGTTTTTCTGGACCATCTTGATGCAAAGGTTCTATGTGAGGACGACCCAGTCCCACCTACCCAACTTTCTGACTTGGTTTTCAGATCTAGCTTTGCGACACCTGATGCCAAGATTACCCCAAGACACCAGGGAATCTGCTGCTACTGTACACCCTTTCCTACTGCTGAAAGACCAGGGACCTTGGCAAGATTCCGGATCGACATGCTCACCTCACAGGGATCAGTTTGAACACTGCAGGAACTTCTGTTGACAAAGTCAAAGGACATCATTACTGGGTTAAGGTGAGATTAATTTCTCAGAATACTGTACTTTCAGATTCACGAAAAGCTAGGGCTGTTTTAAACCCGTGGTTATCTTAAAATTAGTAGGAAAAGTACAAACAAGCCCTGCATCAGGTCAACAGCTTCCAATCTTTCAGTAACTTTTATTTCATGTAGGATACTTTTATTAATGATCCTTCTGCAGGCTCTCTCCCATCACTTTGTAATACCACCTACCTCTCTACTACTACACATTCACACCACCAAATGCTTCAGTATTTCACATTAAATCCAAGTCCATGTATATAGCACAACTTCCACGCTACTGCTTGTCTATAGCCACCTGCAAAACAAGTGTAAGTGAAAACCAGTAGGGGCTGGGGATTTGGCTCAGAGGTTCCACAGCCAGCACAAGGGCAGAGTTCAATCGCCAACACCACACACACACAAAAAAAAACTAAGTGAAGACCAATAGCGCTAACACTTGCTTACAGTTACCACAAACCATACATACACCGAACTGTGTGTGACGCTCCACTTCCCATTCCAAGTCTTTTAATAGAAACATAACCAAAATAAACAAAACTCCATTATTTTGGAATGCAAGAACTTTATTGAAAGTGCAATGGAACTTGTAAGCTTAAAACATAGAGGAAGCACAGATACCTCCCCTCAGACGGAGCACCAGATGCAGGGTGGACTCCTTCTGGATGTTGTAGTCGGACAGAGTGCGCCCATCTTCCAGCTGCTTGCCAGCAAAGATCAGCCTCTGCTGGTCAGGAGGGATGCCCTCCTTGTCTTGGATCTTGGCCTTGACATTCTCGATGGTGTCACTGGGTTCCACCTCGAGGGTGATGGTCTTGCCAGTGAGGGTCTTCACGAAGATCTGCATCCCACCTCTCAGACGGAGCACGAGGTGCAGGGTGGACTCCTTCTGGATGTTGTAGTCGGACAGAGTGCGCCCGTCTTCCAGCTGCTTGCCAGCAAAGATCAGCCTCTGCTGGTCAGGAGGGATGCCCTCCTTGTCTTGGATCTTGGCCTTGACATTCTCGATGGTGTCACTGGGTTCCACCTCGAGGGTGATGGTCTTGCCAGTGAGGGTCTTCACGAAGATCTGCATCCCACCTCTCAGACGGAGCACGAGGTGCAGGGTGGACTCCTTCTGGATGTTGTAGTCGGACAGAGTGCGCCCATCTTCCAGCTGCTTGCCAGCAAAGATCAGCCTCTGCTGGTCAGGAGGGATGCCCTCCTTGTCTTGGATCTTGGCCTTGACATTCTCGATGGTGTCACTGGGTTCCACCTCGAGGGTGATGGTCTTGCCAGTGAGGGTCTTCACGAAGATCTGCATTGTCTGTGAGAAAGAACAAGACACACAAAGACTGAAGAGTTATCGGACAATTTACTAATTCCTAACGTTCAAGTGTTATTTAACATTAATACACATTAAATAGAAAACTTTGAAAAATGCCTGGGCATGGTGGTGCACACCTGTAATCCCAGCACTCAGGAGGGCTGAGGCAGGAGGACCGCTCTGAGTTTAAGACCAGCCTGGGCTACATAGTGAGTTCCAGGTCAGGCTCAACTACATAGTTGAGACCATCTCAAAAAATAACAACAAACTCTGAATACAGGTGACCGAGCTATAAGGAACTTCGTAAATACAAACACAATTTATGCAACACCAGCCCTTTAAGAAAAATATGGGAACCCTGACCCAAGTAGTCTCGGGAGGAGGCTTGTTTCCCCTTCCTCCCTCCTCCAGAAGTCAAGGTTCCAGCGAGTTCACCGGAGTCCACCCAAGCCCAAACCCTCCGTCCCGAGGCTACACGGAAGCCTGGCACTCCAAGGCCGGCAGCCCCGCCCCCCATTGTGAGCCAACGGAAGCGATGACGTCACCGCGCGGGTCACGTGACAAAGCCGGGCGCGCCCTAATTAGCAGCCGCCCAGGGTGTTGTTGGTCCCTTCTCAGCCTCCTAGTCCTTTTTTTTTTTCCCAGTCCGCACTAACGCTCCGGGCCCTTTACTACCAGTTTAACAAATGAAAAACGAGTTCTCAGCCAGACCCCGAAACGCTACCGGTCCGAGTCTCAGCGACACCTCGCCACCTTCAGAATTAACCTGCCACCCGCCGCGAAGGGGAGGCCTCGGGACCCTCCCGGCCAGCGGCTCCCCCGGCGCGTTCCTCCAAACTCACGGCCCGCTTCGCCACAACCCGGCTTCTTCCAGTCACGAGTCAGCGACGGCGGCCATTTTGCGACTTCTCCCCCTCACGACCGCAGCCAGGCGGCGACCCCGGGAGAGAAGAGCCTCGCGGCCTGCGGCCGCCGTCCCCACATCCGTTCACGACGTGCCGGGCGGTAAACCCCCACCACCCGTGGACCCCGTCCTCACCAACTGTCTCAGGCGGCGGTGGCAGGCACACAGAAGGATACAGACGACTCCGCAACCTCGGCGAAACTGGCTGCGCCCCGCCCTGCGCCGCCTTATATAGCCACGGCGGTCGCCGCCCCGGTGAGATCCCTCCGCAGAAACGCCGAGAAGGGGACTACTTTTCTGGCGCGTTCCGCCCCTTGGAAGGCCGCTGAGCGAGCGGGATCACGCGGCCCTCTCTGGAATGTTCTGCCGTGAGGACCCGGATGAAGGGGTTCGGGCCGGTGGTGGAGGCACCGCCCTGCGCGCCCCGGCGGAG